CCCAATTTTTACTTATTTTTATTTAATTGAAAGACAAAGAGATAAAGACAGAAAGACGAGAGAGATGTTCAACCTGCTAGTTCATGCCCCAAATGCCTACAGTATTCAGGTCTGGGCCAGGCCAAAGCCAGGAACCATAAACTCATCCTGGGTCTCCCAGGTGGGAGGCAGGGAACCCAGTACCTCAGCCATCGCTTGCCATCTCCCAGGATGCGGCAAGCAGGAGGCTGAGACTGGAAGTGAAGCTGGGACTGGAACCTAGACACTCCCATGTGGGAGGTGGGTGTCCCAAGTGGCGGCTTAACCCCTGCCCCAAACACTCTCCTCCCCTACCCCCAGTGCCCTTTTATGTTGTCCTTGGCAGCTTCCCAGATGTGAGAAATCCAAACAGCCTGAGTTTTCTTGGCCCTCTCCCAGCTCAGCTGCAGGATGGGTGCCAACGGCAGGAAACGAAGTGCCAGCATTCCTAATCCTTTTTGGGTCCAAAGGAGGAGGATCTGCCCTCCGAGAGGAACTTCAAAATGTTAACCATGCCAATTGGTCACCCTTCCCTCACTGTTTTAAAAACATTCATGTAGCTTCATTCAAAGCAGTGAAGCAATCACCAGAGTTGCTGGAAGGGAGACGCAGGACAGCCAGAGTACAGAAACTTTGCCAAAGGCTGCTTGCGACACACGGCTGCAGTCACTGTCTTCACAGAGACTTGAAGCCGAAGGGAGGCTTCCTAGGTGGTAACGGGTCCCAGGTGACCACAGGGTCTTCTCGTCTCCTTCCACCTCTGATCCCAGTGGGGACCTCCAGACACATGACACTTCAATAACATTTTTTAGTTTACCAAGCACCCCCCCCCACCTAAATACAGTATTAGCTCATTGAATCATATAGGAAAAAGAGGTAAACTATTTGGGTAAATGAAGATATTCAAGGTACTATGTTAGCTGTTTGTAATCATCAAATGGAAAATGAGACTTGAAGTAGTTGGGAAAAAAGTAGATTTTATCTGACATACTATTCGAACTATTTCCAAAATACATTCATGTGTTAAACAAGTTTTCCAAATAGCGTACATTAGGATGCCATTTACTTGGGGAAAAAGAAGGAACAATGGAAATAGCTTATTCCAAGCACTATTCTCAGTGCTTTACATGGCTGAATTAACCTGATCTTCACAACCATTCTATGTTTCAGGTACTACTGTTCATTTTGTACATTTGAAAACTCGTGCATGTGCATGCGAGGTTAAGTGTTTTGCTTCAAGCCACATGACTAATAAGTTGTGGAACCAGGACTTAAATTCAGGAATACAATGGAGTAATATTCAACTGTAAAAAAGAATGAAATTCTATCACGTGCATCAAAATGGTTGCAACTGGAGGATATTATGTTGAGTCAAGTAAGACGGACACAGAAAAATACCACATGTTCTCCTTTATATGTCAGGGCTAAAATAAAAAAAAATCAAAATACAAAAAAAGAAATGCCTATGTATATGTGTTGCTGCAAATATAGTGTCTTGTCAAATTGTTTTAAATTTTGGTCAAATTGTTAAGAATGATATACGACTGTAGTTTTAATGATGCATATCTTAAGATTTACTACATTTGAATGAAATTAACACATTTTCATTTGATTGTTGTTTTTAGCCCTTGTCTATATTCCTGCTGAACTATGGTCTTTTTACTTTTTATTTGTTGAACTCTATTTACTGGAGCATTAAGCCTTTGATTATAATATATATTGAAAATATGCTACCTTAAAAATAAAAAAAAAAAGATAAACCCGGTAAGTGGCCTGATTCTGGACCTTAAGTTCTACAGCATTTCCACAGAAACACTTATGCCGATGTAAGTACTTAGGAAAGAGTCCAGGAAGATGAACACTAAATTGAAAATTGTGGTCATCTTTGGAGAGGAACCAGAAGTGGGGCAGGTTAATTCAAACACTCCATTAGCCACAATGTTGGTTTTTTGTTTTGTCTTTTCTCTAAGGAGGAACATTTCATGTTACTACTTAGTTAAATGTATTTATAAATTTTTAATTATCTAAGACAAAATCTATCTTGGGGTCAATGCAAGTAGTTCTGAAGATTACTAGATTATACTCTGAATTCAACTGAAATGTCACATTGACTTTGGTGTCCTTGAGATCAGAGGGATTAATCTTTCCTCTTGGTCGGTCTCATGACATCTGATGAAATCTCATTTCAGAGATTAGATGAAAAGTTAGTTCTGATTTCATCTAGAACAAAGGGAGGCATATTGGTAAATGTATTAATTTCAGTTCTGAACTGTCTTTTAGAGTTCAAAAACTTCAGCTCACATGATCATACCAAATATTGAACTAAGAAGAGATCTTTTAGTTTCATTTTGAAAATGAAGTAATACTTTAAAAACGCATATGTACTAATAATTAGGAAATAACAGCATATTGGCCAGGGAATTCAGAGAAACAGAACCAACAGCTGATAGATAGGTAACTATGAATCTGTGTGTATACACACATACACCCAGAGGGAGGGTATTTCAAAGTTTTTGGAAAATATGTGTTAAAACTATATGCATTATTTCAAAATTTTTTTGCAGCAAAATAAACTTATCTTGTAATTTTATTTTTCCACAAAATTTTTGAAGTACCCTCATATATTTATTTTAAGGAACTGGCCCGCAGTTGACAGGTCTGAAATCTAGAGGGCTGGCCATCTGGAAATTCAGGTGGCAGTGGACGTTCGTCTTGAACCCACACTTTTCAAGGGGGGCAGTAGGCTGGAAACCAGGCAGTTTTGAGGTAGAATTGCTTTTTTTTCTGGTAACCTGCCCTGCTCTTAGGGTCTTCAACTGGATGAGGTTGTCAACTGATTGTATGTTAATCACATGTACAAATGCCTTCACAATACCTAGACTGGTGTCTGACCAAACAACTGGGCACCATGGACTAGACAAGTAGACATAAACAAATGACCATCATGAGTACCTCCTAATTTGAACTAAATTCTGGCTGCTCAAGAATGTTAGATAAGGGCTGGCACTGTGGCTTCTGCCTGCAGTACCAGCATCCCGTATGGGTGCGTGTTTGAGTCCTGGCTGCTCCACTTCCCATCCAGCTCCCTGCTAATGCTCCTGGGAAAGCAGAAAATGGCCCAAGTGCTTGTACCCCTGCATCCAAGTGGGGGGCCCGGATGAAGCTCCTGGCTCCAGCCTGGCCCAGCCTCAGTCATTGTGGCCATTTGGGGAGTGGACCAATGAATGGAAGATCTCTATTTCCATCTTTCAGATAAATACATCTTTAAAAAAAGTTAGAGGATTCCAGTGATTTTTAAACTTAGGGTAATTAAGTTTAAGCAGCTCAGTTAATAAACCGTTTGAGGAAAATCTCTTAAATTTTTAAAAATTTATTTGAAAGGCAAGAGCAATTTTTCATCTATTGCTTCACTCCCCAAATGCCTGACTGGGCCAGGCTGAAGCTGGGAGCCTAGAATTCAACCCAGGTTTCCCATGTGGGTGACAGGGACCAACTACTTGAGCCATCATTTGTTGTCTCCCAAGGTGTGCATCAGCAGGAAGCTGGACTTCAGTGAAACCAGGACACTGACCTTGGGTAATCTTTGAGCTTCCTTGCCACAGCTGAACAGATCATAATCTAATGTATCTACCAAACTGATAGCTGACCTTAATGAACCTACATACTCATGTTGTCTTCAAGCATGTTACTTTCATTAGGAAGAATTAGAATTCACTCAATATTGTCATTAATATTCCATTACTTTCAGCATGTTAAAAAACAACTTATAAATTTTATATATTTTTTTGACAGAGTAAGGGCCTAAGCTCTAGCTTGATTCTTTGGAAGACGAAGATAGGATATTTTGGTAAGGTTAGTGTCATCAACAAGCCACACAGCTGGCACCTTGCAGCACATTTCAATTATCATTAAGTGGAATACTTGTATGAGATTTGGATGCGGTATCAAGTTTTTCTCAGCACAAAATTTCTCCTAGTGTTGATTCAACTGTTAACTTTAGCTTTCTAGAATATGGGTGGAGGGAGGGGTAGTCAGATTCTGTAGATCTCAGAAAGGCAGGCAGAATGGCCACAGGAAACATAAGCAGCACTGGCAGCACAGCCAAGGCTTTACCCACGGGTTCAATTCCTAACAGAGAAACTGGCTAGTACACACTATGGCCCTTATCTGGAAGACATTTGCCAGCTTGGAGATACTATCAAAAGCTAAAAATCTGAATAGTATGGGGCTAGCACTGTGGCGCAGCAGCTAAAGCCACTGCCTTCGATGCCAGCATCCCATATGGGTGCAGGTTCAAGTTCTGGCTGGTCCACTTCCAATTCAGCTCCCTACTAATGCACCTGGGAAGCAGTGGGAGATGGCCCAAGTCCCTGCACTCACATGGGAGACCTGGAAGAAGCTCCTGGCTTTGGTCTGTCCCAGCCCTAGCCATTGTGAACTAGCAATGGAAGTGTCTCTCCCTAATTCTGCCTTTCAAAAAAATAAATTGTAAAAAAAAAAAAAAATTCTAAATAGTAATCTAAAGTTTGCTCTTTTCCTAAAGCCACATTTTAGATTCTTATGTGGTCTGGATTTAAACCCAGAAACTCTAAGAAAGTTTAGGGAATGATACAAAACCAGATGAAAGCAATCACATCAAAATTATCTAAATTCCATTTCAAATGCATGACAAATATGGACAATATAATTGAAGATCATAGTGTGGTATTTCTCAAGTGTCTGATAGTAAAAGTCCCGGAGGCACTCCTTCCAGGTAAGATTCTGGCTCAGGAGGTAGTAGGTTTGGATGGGGGGCCAGGAATCTGGCTTTGAAGTACCTCAGGTGATTCTATAATCAGGCAATTTTGAAAAGTACTGGCTGTGGCAGGGATGGCTGGGGTGGGGGGGACTTGAGGGAAAACAGGCACAATTATTACCACAGCTGTGGTCCCCAGACTCAAAGACTTCCTGAAAATGAGAAGCATTCAATTGAAATTGAGGAATTATCTACAGAACACTGTTTATTTCAAGTCCAAAACACAAAATTACTCATTTTTCTTAACAGAACACATTATTTTTACTGCATGGGTATTTAGGGTTTCTCTATTCACAAGTGCAGATTTATTCTTGAACTTTAGGCTCGAATGATTCATATATATTCGTTTACTACAGAGGACATGTACTTTATAACAATCTGTTTAGAAAATATTTTACATAAAAACACACAAAGCATTTATGAATACTCTTCATCTTCACAACAAAACTTCAGCAGAGGTTTGCCTGAAGATCATAATTTTCAACAAAACACCCACGACTGAATAGAACTTATCTTACATACTGTAGATCACTGCAGTTCAGTTTCCCTTTCTTCTATGGCTTCTGCATATATTAAACAGGTCTTTGCTTTAATTGATAATCTGTGAAGTAAATTTGTCTTTTGTTGCAAATTGCTCTTAATCAAGAATCTAAATGGTCATGATGAAATTAAACTGACATAGGGCTTTTGGTAAGGGGCCCTTCAACCTAATAATGGAAGACTTTACTACCTATCAGTAGGAAATCCTTTAGTGTTTTGTGTCCAGTAACTACTGTCTAGAGTGCTATCACTTCTAGCATAATCACTTGGCATCAAAATATAAAATAAAAATATGTACACTTTAATATATCAATTCTTACCTGAATAATCTCAGATCTCTTGAGAATGTTCCACAAAAGTGGAATTTCATCCTCAAGTTACACTGAAAATGGTACAATGTGTACAACTTGGTTAACCAGTGCCTGCTTCTCATTTCAAGATTTCTCCCTGTCCTGATCAGATACACAATCTTACTACTACACCATAATGCACTGGCAGTTTTGTATATAAAATCCAACTCAAGCTTATTTTGGTTTATTGTACATGCTTTATTAAAATGGTTCTTGTATTTACAATATCTGCAGAGAGTCCCTTCCAAGGTGCTCTCCCACACATCCAGCCACAGCCACACAGACATCCACACCACAGCCCCATGCACCCACACCAGTGAGATGTGAGGATCAGACTCCTAAAATTAGGCAGCTGTTGGGGGATAAGAGTTGATTGGTTTTTCAATTTTTTTGAAAAGAGAAAAGCATGGGGAATGCATTTGGCCATTACAATGCTAACTAAGTTTGTGTATATTAACATATATGGCAGTTAACACTGAATATTCCTTTTACATTCTTTACACACAGAATGATATCAAGGTTTTGCGATCGACAGAATATTCTAACTTCGGTCTCAATGCTGCTTGTAGTGACTTCTGTATTCATATAGGGGCTTTCCCTAAAAATAATTCAAGTCTATGTAAGTGAAATAAGGCACAATTAATATTGATTTGACCTAGGGGAAGGGATGGGATAAACAGGTTTCAAATGATCTCACTGTTGGAGAATTAACTGACTTAAACCCACTTGAAATCTCACCTCCTAATTTACAAAGATTTCTTAGAAGCATTTCTTTTTCTTTCCTCCCCTGACAAAGCCCAAACAGAAATGTTTGGGAATTCATATTTCAATTTCTCAGTAGCCTAAAGTACTCAAATTGATGTGCAACCCCTACCTTCCCTTGCCACAGTCTCTTCCCTCCTCAATGCTAAAAGAAACACAGCACATGAAACAGGAGTCCCTTGGGTTTTGAGGAGATTTGTACACTTGAGTAGTAAATACATATCTGGTTGTCTTTGATATTTGAAAACTTAAAAAAAAAAAGAAAAGAAAAAAGGGAAAAAATATTTTGTGACTTTCTTGCTGTTTAAAAAAATCCCTGTCTCTTTTCAGGATGAGGAAGCCCCATCAGACATTACAAACAACCGCAACAAATGGGTTTGGCAGCATAAATAATGTCTAGTATTCAAATCTTCATAGTGAGACTCAAATTGATCTTGTACACCACCTGTTGAATGTTTTTGCAGGAGGTGAATCAAACCCAAAGACGCAGGACATTCTGTGAGAGGGAGGAAGAACTGCAGTTCTGAAGGCCCCTGACTGTGGTTGTTTACAAAGTTCAATCCTGTTTATTGTGATCCTTGGTATCTTCTTCATCTGTGTATTCTGATGGTTCTTCTCCTGGTTTTAGGAGTCTGCCCACATAATCGTATTTTTCTGAAAGATACATCAAAAGAAAACAACAAACAATCAAATTTGTTTCACTATCCCATTATTTTCAATAAAGGCTTTTGTCTCTCTATTTATTTGCTTGTTTATTTTATTTATTTATTTATTTATTTATTTATTTATTTTTTTGACAGGCAGAGTTAGACAGTGAGAGAGACAAAGGTCTTCCCCTCCGTTGGTTCACCTCCCAAATGGACTAGAACCCAGCGTGCCAGCGCCGAAGGTGGAGGATTAGCCTAGTGAGCTGTGGCGCTGGCCTTTGTCTCTTTTAGAATCAAACAGTTCTTCCTATTGCTTTATCATGACTAGTCTTTACAAACATGTAAAACCCGAACAAAGTAAAACGGGATAACAGACTTTTTAGACTTGGGAATTTATTCTTGTAGCAGTGTTCTGTACCAGTGGTTCTTAACTGGACACTGCATCAGAATCACTTGGATATCTTTAAGTTCTTGTGGAACAGTATACACTTTCTTTGAACATATATTTAAATTTCCAAAGAACTAGAAAATGAAGGTACCTTTAAACTGCATTTCCCATTCTCGAACACTCTCCATTTGTACTGCATTCAAATCTGAGAGATCATCATATTCATCTCTAAGTGCATCTTTATCTAGACAAAATGTTGCCAGTCCTCTGGAGGCATCTCTACCAGCAAATATTCCATATGGTCCCGCTGAAAAAAAGAAGAGAAAATACTTAAGATAGCCTAACAATATTTTAAAAAGCCTCAAAGGAGAAAGTAAAAAAACAAAACCAAAAACCTTCACCATGACTCAAATATGGTACAATGAGAAGAAATCAGTGGGAAATTTGCCTTAAAAAATTATTTACTGGGGCTGGTGTTGTGCAGAGTGGGTAAAGCTGCCACCGAAATGCCAACATCCCATACGGGCACTGCTTTGAGTCCTGGCTATTCCACTTCCGATTCAGCTCCCTGCTAATGGCTTGGGAAAAGCAGAAGATGGCCCAAGTACTTGGGCCCCTGAACCCATGATGGAAACTCAGAAGCAGCTCTTGGCTTTGGCCTGTCCCAGCCCTGGCCATGATGGCCACCTGTGGAGTGAACCAGCAGATGGAAGTTTCTCCCCCCACCCCTTTCTGTGTAAATCTTTCAAATAAATAAGTAAATCTTTAAAAAATTATTTGAAGGAGGGAAGGAAGGAGAGAGGTAAGGAGGGAAGAGGAGGAAAGAGAGAGAGAGATTCTCCATCTGCTGGTCCACTCCCCAAATGGCTGCAACAGCCAGGGCTGGGCCAGGCTGAAGCTAAGAGCCAGAAACTCCATTCAGGTCTCCCACATGGGTGACTGGGACCCAAGTACTTGGGCTGTTATCCACTGTCATCCTGGGCACATTAGCAGGAAATATGATGGAAAGCAGAGCAGTGAGGCCACAAACTGGTCCTCCAATATAGGATGTCTATGGATGCTGCTGTCCCAAGCAGCAGACTAACCTGCTGTGCCACAATGCTGGCTGCCAGGAAATATGCCTTTTGACCAAAGTTTAATAAAGCTTCGCATTGAAATCTTAAATTTCAACTACTTCTGATACCCCGAAACTTGTATTCAAAATGAGGACATCTGAAGTTCTTAGGGTGAAGAGGAAACATTAGCAGCTAGGTTTAAAAGCCAGTGTGCTTGAGAGTAAATGATACTTTACTGATTGCTGTTAATTAATAATGACATCTAAAAATAATCAACAGGGGCTGGCACTATGCTACAGCAGGTGAAACTGCAGCTTGTAGTGATGGCATCCCACATCGCAGGACTGGTTTTGGTTCAAGTTCCAGCTGCTCCACTTCCAATCCAGCTCCTTGCCAACGTGCCTGGGAAAGCAGACAGCGGCCCAGGTACTTGGGTCCTTCTGCCACCCATTTGAGAGATCCAGAGGGAGTTCTGGGCTGTTGACTTGGGCCGGGACAGGACATTGCAGCCATCTGGGGACTGAACCAGTGGATGGAAGATTTCTGTCACCCTGCCTTTCAAATAAATAAATCTTTAAAAACCAAAAAACCACCAGTAGAACATCCACTGAATATGTACTATGTAAAAACCCAGGTGAACAGTGAACCTACATTTTTCTTTCTCCTATTCTCTGTAGGTTCTAACTTAGAGCAGAGATTGCATCACTTTGTGTGTCCTGTGACGACTTCTGGGCCCAGCACATGTTCAATAAACCTTTGCTGAATAAATGCCTTGATTTAAAAACAAGGACCAGTTCTCAAAATAAGTATCTCCTGAATATCATAGTACATAAATTTCCTACAAAAACTAACAAGAAGCATTAAGGAAAATAACAGTTGTCGTTCGATATGACTTTTGGGAAAGAGAGGAAATAGCTGAGGGATAGTTCTGGACTGACCCATTAAGTAATGATTAGTATTTTCTCAAAGGAGTTAGGCACCATCTTGTCTGTGAAAGGTGGGCATAATTGCTGAGTTGACATAAGCAAACCAATTCCCAAGTCTTCCCTTGAGAGCAGTAACTGTCATGTTCATCTCTGTATTCTTAGTGCCTACCATGGTACCTGGCATGAAGCTACAATGTAATAAAGTTCTTCCAAATGACTTAACTGTAGTTCCAAAGACGGGAAATTCAAGATTCTGATCCTCTAAATAGACTGACTATGGTAGGAAAACTTTCCACCCAAATACACAACCAAGAAGATACTTCAGTTTTTTAAAGCCGTAATATCAACAAAATTGAAATAACCTAATTTTTTATTTCAAGAAATTGGTTAAATACATTACACTGCTATCAGAATCAGGTAACCCTGGAAACAGACTTGAAAGAAGCCCATTACATAAGTATGAAAAAGAGCAATCAGATGGGAATTTCTGAGGGAATGGAAGGGAGAAAATTTACTTCACATAAAGTGTGGCTTATTAAAAAGTGATCTTTACAATAAAAATCTTAAATTTTTAAAATTTATGTGTAAGGAAGAAAGAAAGAGGCAGGGACGGCTGTAGACAGAGATCTTCCATCCACTGGTTCATTCCCCAAATGCATGTTAAGAGCTGGGAGCCCAAAACTCCATCTAGATCTCCCACATGAGTGGAAGGGGCCACGTACTTGAGCCATTACTTGCGGCCTCCCAGGACATGTGCTTGCAGGCAGCTGGATGAGAAACAGAATGGGGACTTGCACCCAGGCACTATAATGTGGGATGTGGGTATCCAACACTATAGTGTCCCCACTATTACAACAAAAATCTTTCAAGGTAACTCTTGTCTGCACCTTAGGCTACAGAGGAGACCAAGCAGATTTTTTCCATTTGAATTTTTGTTTTTTTGAGAATCAAGTGACAATAAACAAGACTTCTGGAATATAATTTTACGGAAGAAAATATTTCTTCTCTATGTTACCTATATATGACAAAGGTCACTAGAGAAAATAATTTAAAAACTAGTTACTAGCTTCACAGATAATGAACATGAATGAATGTTGTTCATTGTTATGAACAGAATAATCAGTAAAGAAGGCTTATTGCCCTAAAGGAATAAAGTACTTTCTTTTCTTCTTTTTAAAAAAGATTTATTTGAAAGGCAGAGATAGAGAGAAAGAAGGAAAGAGAGGGAGAGAGAGAGAGATCTTCCATCACTGGCTCACTCCCCCCATGGCTGCAATTGCTGGGACTGGCCAGGCCAAAGCCAGGAGCCAGGAACTTCTTCCGGGTCTCCCACAAGGGTGCATTGGCCCAAGGACTTGGGCCATCTTCCACTGCTTTCCCAGGCACATTAGCAGGGAGCTGGACTGGAAGTGGAGCAGTTGGGACTTGAATTGCTGTTCATATGGGATGCCAGCCCAGCAGGCAGAGGCTAACCGTCTACACCACCACATTGGCCCCAGAATAAAGTATTTTCTAATGAGAGTAAACAAGTAGAAAAAACTGGAAATTCTTTGATTTTTAAATGTGCAGAATAATGATTATATCATTACTTATTTTTGAAATGTTTAGGAAGCCAAAACTTATGTATTAAAAAGTCTCTGTACATTTTACAAATAGAAGTCATAGTTTCACTTAGACAAAAATCTAAACATTTAAGAACATTAATTTGAAGTAGACAGCATTGCACCATAAAATTCACAAGATGTAGAAACTCATTCTCTAAAAAGTTTATAACATGGAACTGGAAGTGGCATTAGCAGTAATTTTAAAAGCAGCATTATAGATATATTATCATGACAATAAAGGTAATACTTCTAGTAAAGTACCTTTTTATCCTGTTTTTCTCATTTTAAACATTTTCCCTATTGCTACTTGATATTAGGTAACTATCAACAATTATCATCGAACATTTATATATTTTCTCCCTGAATGTAAATAACCCAAATTTAGCCAATCTCTTATTAATATAACCAAGCTATTTTGTTGTACTTACAAATGAGTCATCCATATAATGAGATACTATTTACCATTAGCCAACATTTCTAACTTTCAAACTTTGCCCATTTCAATTAACATTCAATTAGGTCTTAGGCATTTAGGAAAAACTCAAAACTATATTTGCAGAATGAAATTAAGAGTTTGTTACATTGGACTTAATTTATTTTTTAAATTTTTAATTAACTGCATGCTTTATGGCAATAGCGATCAAAGATACACACACATACACAGGAAACTAACAGGAAACTAATATGATTTCTGTTTCTTGAGAAATAATGATGATCAAAAAAATCTGTGGACAGATAACCTAATAGTGACTGAATCAATGCTTGTTACAAACTTAAAACAGTGATCAATGAAACACACGAAAGGAAAAATAAAACCGAGCAGTGCTATAACCTATGTGTGAAACGTGATTGTTCACGTTTTCTTTTAAAAACATTTTTAAAAATTCTTTTTAAAGAATTTCCCAGCAATCTCACTTTCCTCTGAGAGTTTTGCAAAGTGGAAGGAACAGATGTTGCTTCCCCACTTGGCAGATGAAAAACAGGAGCAGAGGCAGTGACTTACTTGAAGTTGCTCACAGAACTGCAAGTACCATTTCCATTTTTTCTAACTACACCACTCCAATGTTACCTTGAGAAAACACATTAAGGATCCACAAACCCAAAGATGGAATGACAAGCTTTAAAATTGGAGCACTTCACTAATTATAAAATTCCAGGGAAATAGAAATGTTAGAATACTTGTTAAATCAAAATAGAAGAGAATTAACAAAATAACTGTAGGCACCAATAGCTTTCATTGCATTCTTAGTATTTACTTTCATGGCCTGCAAAAGTTAACCTTAGGCACTTCAGTATATAACTCATACAACACTTTAAATGGTACAAAAGAGAGACGATCACTGTAACATCAACAACATGAAAATCTGCCACCTCTGAGTATATTAATGTACACTGGTGCATTCTCCAAATGTCTCTGCCAACTTTCTGAAGCCTGAACACTGAAAACACATAAAAACAGACTATAGAACTTTTTTTTTTTTTTGGTTTAGATAGCTAAAGTATTAAGAGTGAACTTGAGCCAGCAGTTAATAATCTAAGTCAAATTCCAGACAAAACAATGTTTTGCTAACTTTTTTTAAAAATTTATTTATTCGAAAATAAGAGTTACACAAAGAGAGGAGAGGGGGAGGGAGAGGGAGAGAGGTCGGTCTTCCATCCGATGAGACAGTGAGAGAGAGAGAGAGAGAGAGAGAGAGAGAAAGAGAGAGAGAGAGGTCTTCC